AGAAAGGAAGCGGGGGACTGGCGGCGTGGAAGGAAGGAAGATACGACGGAAAAGGAGGAGAGAATCGGGCCGAAATCGTCGTACGGACATGTGCGCGGCGCTGTGCTCGCAGTCAGCAGGGACGTGATGGTACGTAGCTCGCGGCGTGCGAGTTATCAGGATTGCTCGCGGTCACGGGTTCGTGACGACGGCCGTGGCGAAGAGCGCGACGGCGTGAGCGACGACAACGAGCGCGCTATCGCGGGAGAGAGCCTCGGGGCGCCGCACGCCGACGGACGGAGCGGCGTTGCCGCCTCTCCTCGGCCGCTGCACCGCGAGAACCGATACGGCAACCAAGAACACCGTCGTTGCCACGTCCGCTGGCTACGTTCCGCTGTCAGCCGGGACGGCAGCTCGCTGGCCACGACGATCGTCTCTCTCGCTTAGCTGGTAAGCACCTATACACGCTGGTAAACCTCTCTATACCTCCCCGAAACCTGTGGTAGTCGCGCGATTCGCCCAACGGCCCGGTATTGCTCACGGTGTACTAGAGATTCGCTTCGTAAGATAGGACCGCTGACTCGCCTCGATGATACCCACGAGATCCTGTTGCCTGGAATAGCCACCGTGCTCCCGCGATCCGCGTATAGTCGCTGGAAGAGACATAGCGAACTCGTTGGAACGAACGAGGCACGAACACTCGGAGAATGTGTTGGGTGCAAGGAGAAAAGGACTCCTCACGGCCGCGCAGGGGATAAGGAAGTTTGGTAAACAACAGTGCCGGGCAAAATAAGAGTAACCGACCGAGCGCGACTCTCTAACGTTTTTGTGCACGTCCCGAGCGAGTTCGTTATATTTCTTCCACCGATTATACGTTGTTACGCAGTGAAGCGAAGCGAAAAGATACGTTAACATTAATTTTCCCATCGTTTCGCGGTTCTAATTTTATCGTTACACGAATCTAATTCGTAGAGATATACATAAGACCGGATGTACGAAAATCTTTATCCTTGTATAAAAATAGTTGCCGATAAACGTCACTTTTGTTCGACGATGGTAACTTTTTGGAGCAAAACGTTCGTACTCGTGCTATCGATGGCTTGTTCTCTTGATCGTTCGTTCTCTACTGCGTCGCGATCCGATATTATTTTCTCCGCGGTTTATTTCGCGGCCTTGCCAATTCACAAGCGCACACAGTCCACGAGGCAATGAACATTTTTGTACGCGATAAGTAACATAGTTTATGATTTGTTAGGTTATATTGAAAGTGACAGTCAATAGAACGGCAGTCTGACAGCGTACTTCACGCGTTGACAGTTTCTTAATTATGATGGACAAAAATATATAAAGAAACGTGCGTCTGGCATTCCTCCGACGGAATTAACATCTTGCCATGCCTAAGTAAACATTAATAGGTTAAGGTAGCATGTGCTCGCTCCCACTGCGACAAATGGATTGAAATGACATATTTGTAGCACGGTGCCGAAGTGCACTGTCAGACCGCTATCGTATCGATTCATTTTATTAATCGTCACCTTCGATACAACCAAACAAAGCGTGAACTAACCTCGCTACTCGTCGCGTACAAAAATGTTCACTGCCTCCCGGACTAACGGAACGTGACTGGAATCGAAAAACAATCCTCGTTCGTCCGCCCGATGAAAAATTGAGATCGCGACTCCCTTGAGATACCGCTCGCGACCAACACCGCGAACGAATTCGGTTTCTCCCGAGTTGGCGCCAGACCTTTCTCAAGTTCGACTCCAGAGGCCCTTCCACTCTCCCTCTCCCTGTCCCTCCTCCTTTCCAGCACCTCACCGGTGCCTCTGTCATTCCTGAGTGACCCCACTTCGTGTCTCCGTCGTGTTCCTGTCTTTGGCGTATCATTCACAAACCGAAATCGCCTGAATGCGAAATAGTCGACTGTGTCACTGTCGAGGCAGGTGGTCGGCAGCTTTTCTTTCTGCACAGTTCATTTGCCATGCGCAGTGGCACTTGGCCGTATTAAAGTCGATTTATATTATCCGTTCAAGCACGTTCTGTATCCGGCGAATACAGTTGAAAAAAACAACGACATACAAACGCGTGTAGATCTTCCATTGTTTCGTTAACTGCATTCGTCGAAAACGAAACGTGCTTGAACGGATAACATAAATTGACCTTTATCGGACTACGTTATTCCGAAATTATAAATTTTCATTTTTAATTTAATTTATCGTGACTCTCGTTCAATTAAAGGGGTCAATGTTACACGTAATAGAAGAAATCTTGAAAACAAAAATTGAAGATTACAATTAGAATTAATCGAGCACAACGAACAATAATATGCGTCTGGTACAAGCCAAGATGGAAGGTTGAAAATATCGTTACGTCATAACACGAGGTCATAACCTCAAAAACAAAACAAGTACGCGTGTAATTTAAAAACAATAAATTAATTGCTGATGTAGGTTAGAATTAAGATAAAAGGAATTAGTTTCGGACTAGTATGCGTCGTAACATTGCTGCATTGTTTTACAGGCGGCACGGAACACGTAACTTTCGTTCGATCGTTTTTAGAGCGCCGTTGCTCGATTCGGATTCGTAAAGAAGGAAACGTATAGAACGTTCGAGGTTCGGGAAAACGGCATTTCGTATGCGCCAACCTAATATTATCGCGCGGGAGATCTCTTCGCGCGAGCCCTAAAAACCTAGTTTTTCCAGGCCGACGTCGTGTCGCGTGACTGTCTGGTTTCACTGTCAAGTGTCTTTCACGCGAGGACTTCGTTTGTTCGGCTCACGTTCGAGTTTATCTCTGGCCACGATACCGCCGATCCAAACATTTTATGTTGGCCACCGTGTTCGACACGTTCTTTCTTCGTCGCGTTGTGGTAGAAACTCGAATATTTAATTCGATGGAATAAAATTTGTCCAACCTCGATCAGCCATGGCGAGCGATTTTGGCGCCACGAGCCACGCGATTCGCTCGCGCGTTACCGCCGAAACGTGATTCGCTCGCGCATGTGATACTTGCCCGCTCGAAATTATTATCGAATGCTCGGCCACGATGAAGGGAGAGGGAAGAGAGAAACCATCCCCTTTAAGAGATAGACCTTAAAGTCTCGCCGTAACTCGTTTCTTCCCCCGGATTTCCACGAGATATTTCATTATTCTAAATATATCGACGGCGCGTACGAGTCACGCATAAATGGAAATCGCCAATCGCGTGCGTATACTAACCCAATTACGTGCGCGCATTCCCGGTGGCCAGTATGCGCGCGGTTACCAGCATTTAGGAATCCTCCGGTTGTTATTAGAACGCCTATCGACATAAATGGGCGCCGGTATTAATGCGTGTGTTACGCGATTTAATTTTAGATAAGCTCCCAGATCGACGGATAACCGAGAGACCCTGTCTGTCGAATGAAACGAATCGCAACGATGCGTGTAAACTCATGCAAACGAGATACATAAATACATGTATTTGCTCGCCGCGGATAAAACTTTTGTTACAAAGTAAACAAAGATAGAAACCATAGGAAGAGAGAAAATCTGAATAAGCAGATGAAAGAACATGTTAAATTTATAGTAATTCCTCGCTTGAAGATAAAACTTTAGTACAGGGATTTACTGTTTCCGTTTCGCCGTTTGAACGCGTTGTGGTTGTCGATTTTCACAAGACCTTGAAAGTTGGTCTTGTCCAACTATTCTCTTTGCAAAGGGGAAGAACATCGCGAGAAGCATATATTATCGTTTCTTTTCAAGGAATTAATTTTATATAACGTTGGTTTTAGATTTGATTAATACATACCTTATATGCTTATTTTAATTGTTATGTACACATAAAAATAATCAGTACGTGGTTTAAATGTTGCGATACATTAACGTGGAAGTAATTACGTTAAACGTTTATTTGTTTCAAACGTAAACTAGGAGCTATAGATTTTTATAATGTTGCATAGTTTCTATTACGTAGCAAATTGACTTTTTATAGGTGGAAACGTTTTGAAATGTTATACGGTTTGTGTAAGAAATATATTAACCCCTATTGGCCGTAAACCTATTAGTTAACGAGATATTTAGCTTCGTTTCCCGACAATTCGCTTCGCGTAACACCAAGTTAGAAATTCAATATCATCAAGGATTTTAATAAAAGAACCGTGTTTATCTGGCAGGGTTTATCGACGTAAGTAACGTTACCTCACCACGGCTGTCTGTTACGCGCGTGCTTCATGTACGGAAGATAACGAAACTGTCTCGCAGAAATTTCGAATGACGTTGATGTTACGCGAGGCAATCAAGTTTTCAAATTTTAATATTACATTTTTATTTTGAATTCGACACTTTAGAACTTTTACTCAAAACATATAACGCTATATTAAAAAAAAAAATATATCAACGTTGACCTTCAAATCGTTAGAACACTTCTGCTTATAAAACAAAATATATGTACGTTAAATAATATCACCTCTTTGAAAGCACGATATTATTCTGTACGAAAATTGTTCGTATACCGCGTAATTTAAAAGCGACTCAAGGTGAGGAAGAAAGAGGTTAAACTCAACATACGTTAATCACTAAATAATGTATTTATGTTGATTTTATACGCCACAAGTGGGACAACAATAAATTTCGTTATTTTTTTGTAGCGTCCTACAAATTTCATGGAATCATAATGCAAATGTCATGTACCGGATCATTTTTTCTGTACGTGTCATACAATCTACATGATAAGCTAGATAGGTGATAGCAAACATGTTAAGTATGTGCTCGTAAATCATATTAGTATGATTTAGAAAACCTTGTTGTGGTATAATTTAAGAATCGTAATAACGTTTAAAAAAAAATATCAATTTCATTATTATACAGTAAAAACCGAATGGACCAAAGGCACTGGTTTATTTTTTTTCAGTACCTTAGTTTCTCTTTGTACAGTTTGAAATTTGTGTAGAGAAATAAAAAAGCCTCTCTCTCTATATATATATTTTTTTTTTTTAATAAAAATGGATACAGCGACTGCTGATCACGTGAATGGCAAAAACATGCTTCGTCGCGGTTAAAGAGTTCTTAATCTGACTAGGGGCCCGGGAATCGCGGATTAACAATCGCATGTCACAGCTGTTTCAGAATCGAATAGCAACATGGAGGCGACAGAGATGGAGAAGCCGCTGGTTAAAGACTTGAACGAACATATCGTGTGCCCTCTATGTAGGGGCTACCTCATAGACGCAACGACACTCGTGGAATGTCTGCATTCTTGTTAGTATTCTTTTCCATAAATCAAAACTCTTGCCCGTCATCGATCGGAAAGAGTATTCGCGTGTCCCAAATCGCATGTCATCCGTTCATTAGCATTAATTTGCAATGGAAAAACGCACGGGTATTCGAATGTCGCGATATATCGGTCGATGTCGATGCAAACTAATGCGCGTCAAAGTTGTCCGGACGCTCGAGACGTTTTGGACACTCGGTCGTTCCAGCAACAGTTCGAACAGCCTAATTTTCATTCGAATTCCCTCGAGCCACCCGAAACTTTGGAACACGCGACTCAATTTCAGCGCCAAATTACCGACGCGTAGTTTTTCGTCCTACTTCGAATGGCTGTATCTACTTCGGAGTAACGCATTGTAGACACTACGTGTAGCTTCTACCGATATTTAAACGTATCTTGAAGGACTCTCCCAGCAACTGTTAATATGCAATTAACGAAGGATTTACTAATAACACGATTGCAATATTTATGTAAAATACAATTAGAATATTGCGAAACCTTAAACAGCATACGTATAACAGCGGTGACTCTACGGTTTCAAATGCAAATATAACGAATTACTTGATGTGCAAGTAGTATATTCGTGTTTGGATTCGTGTAATTTTTAATACACGTGCTCGAAAGTTCTGATTAAACGCGTATGTACTGTTAATGTATCTACGTACAGTCGAAAGCAGAACTTCATTAGATTTTAAACCCCTTATTAAATGGGGAATTACTGCTATATATTATTGTATTAGGCAACCTCGAAAAACAATATATTTTTCCCAAATTATTTATCTACCTACAAATTATATAATTGAAAATTCGAATATTTTATTTTACATAAAATAACTAGAATAGATAACTTAAAACATGTACACTAACCCAGACACATGATATAATGCGAGATGCAGCATTAAATTATAGTAATTCGAAAAAGACAAAATTGGACTAGGTTCTATCTTCTATTTTCAGTATGAACACCTAAAAGTTCCATCTCGTTAAATAATTATAAATACACTGTTTTTCAAAGAACTGTTAATCAGCAATATGTAAAATCCATTAAGGTACGTTTAAATAATCTGAGGTTTAATAGTATTTATAAGAAAAAAGCTACACATCGAGTCGAATACTTTTCATTTTTATTGCACAATTCTCGAAAGAAATCACGTTCCTTGTAAAATAAATAACAAAGAGGTTAAATAAAAAGGGGACGGCGTGTTCAGTTTGCAGAGGTTGCATAGTAAGACGACTGAGCAGCGGTGCCCGAGCGTGTCCCGTATGCAACATCGCGACGTCTCCGCCTCTTCTGCCGGACGTAAAGCTACAACAACTGGTGTATTTGGTGGTACCGGGTCTCTTCCGGTCCGAGCTCGAACGAAGGCGTCACTTCCGGCTCGTGAACCCCCAATGTCCGCCTTTGGTGCCGCCGTTGGGGGCACTCGACTTGACCTTGGACGATTTCGTCAGCCTGAGCCTGTGCGAGCTCGAGGAGCCGGAAGAGGAGGCGCCTGGCCAGTCGCCGGGAAACGACGACGCTGACCAGACGACGAACGTGGAAACGATTCGAGTGAGAAACACGCGATACCTAAAATGTCCGGCCGGTGTAACGGTTCGACACCTCCTGAGACTGCTGATGCTGAAGAGGGGCTGGGAGGAAACGAATTCTCACGGGGCGAACGTCAACGCCATAGAGATGCTCTGCGAAAAGTACAACGAGGAATACGGTAGCATGGAAACGATAGTTCTGGACCAGTCTTGGACGCTGCTGGACCTTGCACGCATATTCGGCTGGAAAAGAGTGAGTTCTATCATTCGTCCCTTCGATTTTATTTACAATCTCCGATAGTCTTACGTAAAAACAGACAATTTGTTTTAATCCTCGATTCCATCGTTTAACACAAATTGAATACGAATTTTACGGGGGGCGTTTAATGAGTCAATAGTTATTCACTTCGAGCATTAATTAACCCTTAAACGAACTCTCAATCTCAACTGAATTCTTTTACTTAATGTTGAAACTTTCCTTTAAAGCATTCAAAAAATAATGAACTAATGAAGGATTACATAAATTTTCAAATAGTATAAAACCGTGAAATTGTATACGAGACTAAAACTTTGATTTTAAAAAATCGTAAAACTTGTCGTGGTACTTGCTTTCGTAACTTCGGTAAAATCTATGAAGCCTATTAAAATTCATTTTCTTTAACATTTCAACTTGAGAATTAATTGTTTTAATTCCACTGTTAGAAGTTCTGTGACCCATATATGGGTGACTTGGCAGTCAAAGTGTTAGACAAATATTAGTTTAAACTTGTGAAGGTACTTAAGGGTTAATTCCAGGACGTATAAATAGTCAAGAAATAATTTCTCACTCGAACGATGAAACAAAATTTGTGAAATAGGGGGTTGGTTACTCCAGATGGTTTGCTGCCGTAGTCGTACATTGGTATCGACGAAGGTGTTAGATGTTATAGGGGAAGCGATGATTTTCACGTTTCAGGAAGAGCCAATGAAGCTGTTTTACCGGATGGCGCGAAAGACGGACGTCGTCCCCGTCCCTCGAGTGAGTTCTTACAACGACGAGACGACCAAGGATGCCACGACTATGGAAAACATTCAAAGGCCGCCGACGCCGCCGCCGAGTCCCAAGCCTGTCCAGGAATGCGAAGTCGAGGCTTGTAGGATTTTAGAAAGTAGCACCGAGCCGCCTCGGTCTCTGGAGACGAATCTGGAACGCGACAAAGAGCCGAAAGCGAAGAAACCCCGTTGCGAGGTGACGCCCGTCATACGTACGCCCGATCTGGTGTCGATGCAGACCAACCACGCGCCAGAGGGCTCGAAGACCAAAGAGCTGGCCAGGCTGGAGCATCGGAAACGCAGGAAACGACGGAACAAACGCGTGATCGCCGAGATCACGACCACGCCGCGCGAGGATCTGTTGAAGTTGAAGGTGCGTCTGACGCCCTGTCCGCCGAGGATCACGTCGAGCACGGGCAGCGGCCAGGCGAAGGAGAAGCTGATACAGATGAGGGCCGTTAGAAGGGAGAAGATCAAAGGCACGGGGATAGGTCAGCAACGATCGTCGAGCTCGTTGGTTCGAGACGAGGGGGCAGGCGCGAAGGAAACCATCGGGGAAACCGAGGAAACGATAGAGGAGATCATAGACAGCATACCGGACGAGGTGGTCAGAATCGCACAAAACATAACTACTCCGGGAGAGGAGGCGTCCGCCGAGCAGAGAGGCGCCACGTCGACGTGCAGGTCTGCGCCGAAGTCGAAGGAAGAGACGGAATCGGAGGCCGTGAAGCCGTCGGAGGAAATCGTCGGTGAACGGCCGAAGAAAGACGAGGAGATCCTTCGACGATTGGGTTTGGTGGCGGTGAACGAGGCGAACGACAAGACGAAGCAACGCGCGCAGAACAACAGCGAGAAGGTCGAGCACTTGAATCGGGAGAAGCTCGAGAAGCAACTGCGCGAGAGCAAAGCGAATCGAGTGAGGAGCTTGCTGGCGGAGAAACAAATGCGCGACGCGCTCAAGAGCATAATGTCGAAAACAAAAGAGGAGCAACCCTCGTCCGTGCAGGTGAACGCCGTGCCGAAGAAGAAAGGCCCGCCGCCGCTGGCGCCCCTGCGAGTCGCGAAACCGTCGGGCTTCGCCGCGTCGAGCGCCATTTTGGAACCGAACAATTCCAAATACGAGACCCCGTTGGACCTGAGCAGCGGCGGGACCGTGCACAACAACGTACTCGATCTGTCGGCCAATCTGTCCATCGGTAACTTCTGCTCGTTGTCCTCCTCGTCATCGCCCTCGTCTTCTACGCCTTCCCCTTGCTCCTCCTCGTCCTCGTCAGGCTCCTCGTCCTCTTCCGTGCCCTCGCTGAACCCCAGGACGCCGCGTTCGACGATCGCGCCGGGTGGTTTGCTGCGCGGAAAAACGAAGAATCCGGACCAGCAACCACGGGGTCAGGAATCTAATCTGGTCACGCTCTCCGACGCGGCAGTGTCCTTACTGAGCGGATGCATCACCGACAAGAACTCGGTGGACCCTTTGGTGCTGGGCTCGGCCAATATCGCCAGCAAAGTGGCGCTCCGGATACCGCAACCGCACCAGAGAATCTCCGGTTTCGGGATGAAGATCAAGCCGAACCTCGGCGTCAGGCACATACCTAACCCGCAGGCGGTGGTCGCCTCGCAGTACAGGAATCAAAGGGCCAGTTACTTCAACACAGCCTCTCAGCAACCGCCGTAAGAGGGATCGTCGCGACCAACGAACGCTCCACTCTCCCGTTTCCTCCATTTTTCCATTACTTCCTATTCATTATTATACGTGTAAGAACGCTCCTATAGAAACGAGATTCCTATGTGACCAACCCAAAGGCTGTACGTTACCATATATTTTCTTCTCCCGCTTCCTACGACGCCGCGCCGCGTTCGAATAGGGACTTTCGAGCGACGAGTTTCGCGTGGGTGCGAAGACGCACGGGGCACACAGCGCCGTGGTAGCGAAAACTAGAACGACGAGTCGGTAAGTGAAAGCGAAGGAAATATCGCGATATTTAATACGGCGAGCGTAGATACCTGAAACGAATATTCGTTTTTCGATCGTTGGGATACTTTGTCGTTCCCGCGCGTCTTCGTTCCACGATGGGGAAAACGACGACGACGGGTGTTCGATCCGTCGCGTCGAACTACGTATGTTTGTAATACATGTGTGCGTGTCTATTAAACAGAAATCGTGTCCACGATTTCGAGAGTTCGGCGATTTTACGAACGGCTCTATATTTGCAAATGGCGCAACGCCCGACAAAGATAAATTAAAGCGTATATAATTGTACGGTTAGGGGTCGTAGAGATGGTGTAGCGGGTGAATGGTTAGGAACACGGTGGACGGATGACTGATGAAGCTTTTCTTGTCCCCCCTCCCCTCCCCCTCAACGTGTTGTATCTCCTTCTTAGAAACATAAAGGAATATGTACTTCATAGAGATGCCAAAGAACGTCAGAGAACGTGTGCAATGTATTAGTGCAATTTAATTATCGTCTATTACAATATATATAATATATTATAGCCGGTTTAACGCGGTGTAAGACTGTAAGGTTCAATTCGTGGTAAAAAGAAAAAAAAAAAGATGAAAAACAAAAGAGGTAGACACTAGTCGTGAGCGACGAAACGCGCGCGAATTGCATGAATGTGATTTCAGGCAGCCCCTTAGGAAATTATACAAAATATTGGCAGACGTGTTCGTAAAAGCCGTGGGGGGCGATCTTTTATAATTCGAAGTTGTTGGAAAGTTGCGCGAAAACTTTCTAACCCGGTCTCGGTAATCTGATATCGAGACGAGTATCGTTGAATTCAGGAGTCTGAGTTGTATGTACGGTCGCCACGTACACGACGAGGTTTTTTATTTTTTAAAAATATAAACTCATATCGCTGTTATTGATTTCCGAATAATATATTATCGTGAAGTGCTTTTGGAAACATTGAATAAAAGAAGTAACCGAGCGCGAGCTCGTTGTTCGTGATACGATATACAATTTTTAACGCTGTAATCTGGAGTATTTCGCGATCGTCGAATCGCTTCCGTTTACACGGGGACAGTAATAACGAGCAACTTGATTTAAAAGAGACCCGAAACGTGTATCAGGAGACTATATCTTACTCGAACGATCAGAATAATTCAATGTTTATATGACTGTACGAATCGAGCGTACGCGTCGTATGAAAGTCAAGGTGGGTATGAGAAGATTCAATTATAATCGAATATTCGATACGTACTTCGAGTCGATGGAGTTTTTAAACGTACGCTTGAAATGGAACTTGTCAACGAGAAACGAGAACGAATGGGAACTACTCAGAACGTTGGTATATTATATAATAATATTCGTGTAGGAAAGCAACGCATCAATTAATAGACGTATGTATAGCTTGTACGATTACGATGTCCAACTATTCTGTTCTATTCGTGCATACGCGAAACGTAAAACGTGCAAAGGAAGAAATGGTAGAACGTATCCGCTGTTCGTGACGTAACCAGATGTTCGAATTACTAACGAAATTTACGTCAATTAGTTTCGTGGCTGGCCGTCATCGACAGTGCTGAAGCAAAGAGCCACGCGATTTTGATTAAGCTGAAAATCAAAAAAATGCCTGTTCTACGGGAAACGAAGAGGCCGTGACGTAGCCACCGCTCGTTAGAATTTACGGCGAATTAAAAGGGACCCAGATTTTTACACGTTATTTTTCTACGGCCTTTTTTAAACGAAATCGCGACACGGAGGAACCACGTTACGTTCTGTCGTCACGATCGATCATAATTTATCCATTGATCCGACCTGTTATCAAATACCCACGTTGAACAAATACCAAACCGATCTTCGAGCTCGATGATAATGTAGCCACAAACGACTGTGAACATTACTCGACCGTTTTAATATCCGACCTGTTCTATGAACAGACAGATGCCACGTAATTGTACCGTAAGTTCTACGCAAAATATTAATCTACTGTTCGAAGGAACGTTCGTGTACTTCGTTGTTAACGAGAGAAAACAATAAGAAGCAACGGCACTTAAATAAATCGTTTTACAAAATAGCGATGGAAAAAGACTTCAACGCGCAAGGTGTGTCGGTACACGCGCGAATAACGAGGGATCAAGAATTCTTTCTATCGAAAAGGTATTTTCCTGTTTCTTGATTGTTGACGTCGTGAAATTTTCATCAGGCTTCCACTTCGAAGAAAATTTTTTTATCTCGGTAACGCGACCTCGAATTTGAATAACACGAAAGTAGTTTTTTAAACCGTTGTACTCGAAAAAAAAAAGAAAAGTGGACTCATCGAATGCGTAGAATGCCAAAATGCACGTGATCATGTTATAAGCGCAGTCGTTGAAATCGCGTCTTTGATCGATCAAGAGTTATGCGAGTATTCGAGATTTTAAAGAGTTATTGAGATTTTACCAGAAAAATTTCTGTTGTTTTCGATCGATCATCGCGAGAGCCCGATCACCCGACGTAGTTACGTTTATTTTTGTTTGGAAATTTTAAGATTGTAATGCATAATCGTAAAATCGATTGTACCGTCGAAAACGTTGTCGTAATTAAACTATTCCGACATTAAATCGCAACTACTTATTATAGTTACTACCGATATTATTGTCGCCATAAATACTATATATGTAATTCAGTACAGTATTTCCACAATAAGCAAGCTGTGAATGTAATCGAAATAAGAATATCAATAATCGTTAAGAATACAATTATTAATGTATCCGAAACCTTCTTTATTCCCATATGTTACGTTTAGTTGTTCGAACTAATTATAAAACGGTCCTAACATTGCCACTTCACTCGTTAAATCAAAATCAACGCAAGAGAAATCGAAATTTATCGTAGTCTAAATCACAGCATAATCCAGACTATAAATGCGTATTATATTACCGTATATCTAGTATAATAATATTGATCGTTCGAGTATTTAATTGCAAAGAAATTATTGCAAGGTTCTGTTTTGTTCGGGGATTACCCAACTGCGTTCTGTCGACGAATACTAATCGACAATATTTGTTATTGCTAATTAGCTATAGCGTATTCACTCCAATATTTTGTTAAAAAATTGTTTTTGAAAATCGTGTTGCATCGTTGCTCGTCAATAAATCGTAATGTATGATAACCACAAACCTGTATTCGTTTCATTTCACCCACAAACCCCAAACTAATAGCGTCATTTCTTAATTTCGTATTTTTGAATAAAAAAACTGATAATCAATCGCATAATTTAAACGTTGCGAGAACGCTAAAATCCAAACTCTTCAAGTTCTTTACGATGCGTGTGCATTAATCCAATTTCTACTTCGTTTCCTCGCCATTTTTACGTTCCGGAGTCGCACGGTGCAACCCTTTACGTAAGCTCCAAAGTATCAGAGATTTTATTGACAGAATAAATGTCAGCAAATGACAACTTTGACGCGTTTATGTATCGTAACTTATCACGTGTTCTTCGTCCAGCTTTCACGAGAATCTGACTATCGCGTATATTTTTTAAATACTTCCATTTCTACGATTTCTAAAAGTTTAAAAATTTCTTACGACACGGAGAATGCAATAAAAAATGATATTGATCGAGTTAGAATTTTTAGATACTATTGAAACCGAAATCCCGACACTAGAGGGTACCGCTTGCGCCACGAACAGCGCGGATAACACCAACGCCATTTTGATTGCCCACGTGTAATGTAAATATACAATTTTCGAGCTTATTATACAGTTTATTCGTAATAGAAAATTAATTCCGAACAGTCGTTTAATATTCGCGTAACAAATTCGTAAAAATTTTTCATTCTGTTAACGTGGCGTTCAAATGATTCAAGAATACGTGACATACACACGATACATACAAAATATTTGGAACATCTCTCGTTAAACATAAATAAAACAACATTGATTAAGATAAAGAAATTTGAGTTGTATTTTCCTAATAGATAAATTAGCAATATCGAACTAAGGAGCACTACTTCATTCCTTTAAGAATCAATCTTCTGTTAATGCTCAGCTCGCTAATAATAGGTATTTTTCGAGATTTACTGGTTTCTCCAATTCCAATGAAATTAAACGCCTACTTTTCGCGGTGTACAAATATTTTATTACGTTCAATAGTGTATCCGTTTACTTCAAATGTTCCATAAACGTTCTACGAAATATTACTTTTCTCGACGAACGTTTTCGAAAAAGTTAATGGTTCGTTGACGAATGGTTTCTTGCGAGAAAGCCGGAGGACACGCGCTCGTCGGAAGGGGGCAACGCGGAGGGAGCTCGAAACGAGCGATCGAGCCAGGTACAGGGCCCCCGCGGATGACCTTCGTTACCTTCGGCCCGGGCAGGAGGCAGGGAACGAAGGTAAAAAAGGCGAGGAGGGTACGGAGGATGCCTACCTTCGACAACCTACATTAGATACGGGAGACGTGGAGTCAGCCTGCGGCCGCGGGCCACGGAAACTCGACCGCTGATTGGCTACAACCTCCCCCAGGGAAGTGCGTGGTGAGCGTCGGAAGTGAAGAGGGGTGAGCTTGCCTAGAGCGAGGCGCTTGCACACGAGGCGAAAAGGTTCGCTCTACCGACGGGCCAGGCATCGGGCTAACGACTTTATCGCGACGCATCGTGTGCAACCGTCTCCCTTGGTAACCACTTCCCTTTAGCTTTCTCTCTGTCCCTCCGATCCATCGTCCCCTCTCGCTCGGTCTCCGCGAGTCCAGCAATTTCGGTCTCCCTCTTTTCTTCTCGCGCCCTGTTGCCCCGGTCGGTACGCACTAATGCCGCCACCCCTTCAATCCCTCCACAACCTCCCGTCCCGTGGTGGCCTGCCCTTATAGCCCTCCATCCCACCGAGCTATCCTTTCACTGGCTTCTGTTTACGCCACGCGCGTGTATACGCGGCTCCCAGCCAGCGTGACAGGGATAGAAATAGCCGCGGGGAGGACGGACGAAGACACGAAGACGGGAAAGAGAGAAACGCTGAAGGGGGGTGATAGATAAGGCGAGCAAAAAGGGAGAGCGAGAGCGACGGAGACGACGAAACCGAACGAACCTGGCGAGACGAGGATACGAGTCAGAGGGGTGGACGAGGAGATAAAAAAAAGAGAAGGAGGGGCGGGGAGGGGGGATGTTGGCAGAGAAAGATAGTTGGCATCGGGAGAGGAGAGACACGCGTGTCTAATACGAACGAACGTGAACGCATACATCGGAACGGGCGCAAGTGCATGTCGCGTCATCGGCTACGAGGGATACGCACGCACACGCTCGCGCGCACCCTCCTGCTGCCGAATGTAGTAGAGAATGAATAATGTACCCACGTACAGCCGATGTCAGGAGGGGTTCCAGAGAATGCAAGCATCGGCCCGTCCCCTTCGTAGACTTTGTAGGCCGTTTATCGAAACGGCGCGGCCGTCTGCGACAGGATTGCACGTAGGCGATCGTAGAATGCCACCGATGACGATCCAGCCGCGAAGATGATCGTGCGTTAATATCAGCGACGATCGAAGAGTACGTATTGACCTTTGGTCGGAGCGTGTCTCTTCGCGGCTGGGATCGTCTAACGAGTGATCGTACGATGCCGGTTCCCGTTAACCGATGGAAATGAAATCACCTCGATTCGTCCAGTGGATCCTTGCGCGGTACGTTTTACGAGGGAGCGGCCACGATTTCGACACGTCGCGTTCGATCGAACAGCGGGAGCCGGGCAAAGAGAGACGATCGGCTTCGCGGGGCTCCACGAAACACGTGGAAGGTTTCCCAAATGCGTGTATCGACCGATAACGCGGCGCAGACTCACTGGTGATCTCCTGCACACGAATACCAACGCACACGTATTCTCGGTCCTAATGCTCCGATCGGGGGCCGCCCACGTATCGCCTACAGGTTCTATACACGAAGAAGGGAACGATTCGCGGAACGGTGGACAAAGAACGGGCCGAGGAAGCGGAGAAAGGACCAAGGTAAGAGATAGCCGAGGTGCCCGTCTAGCGGCGTCTCATTCGCTCGTGATTCGAACCGCGTTCCACAGCTAAACGACCGACCATCCGTCCAGGCCCTCCTGGTGGGGATAGCCCTCCAAGGGATCCTTTCCAGAGAAAGCCTCGGGAGGAAGCCCGGCGGTCGCTGTTCCCGAACGATGCCTATACCAGGGGGGAGATCTGCACCGCTTACGGGGTTGGCGGGGAAAGGGACGCACGCACCACGCACCATGCGAATATTTTTGTCGGCATCCTCCAACTGTTCGGGGAGAGGTAGAAGGGGGAACAGAGTTCTTAAAGTACACCCAGGGAGTGTCAGGATTGGAAGGTCGATCGCCGTGGTGGGAGTGTGCTGTTTGTTGGCTCATAGCTGACTGGTGTAATTAAAAACGCCCGTAATTAATGCTACCGCTACAGATACACCGAAACGATCGGGGCACCCGGCTGCTCGAGAAATACCGGGGTGAACTGAAATTACTCGATGCACCGCGGACCAAGGGTTCCAAACTCTATCGTTTGAATCTTTAGAATTTTTCTTTCACCCACCCTCTCCATGAAAATATTCCTACAACCCAATATATTCATAATTGAATATATGTAACAGAATATATGTATATATGTAATATATATAATAGAATAAATATATATATATAGCGCTGTTCTATTATAAATATTATACATATATATTTGAACGACACGTAAAAATTGTCTTAGTATCTTATGAGTTTCTTAGATCCTCAGATCTAACGTCACAGCAGAAATTTTCACGTGACCAATCGGGGATCGTTGCCGCCTTTTTGGTGGCCCGTTTCCGGGATTCGATACTGTATCTGAGTTTGTAGTAGATTCAATAGCGCGGATGTACCATTCAGTTGGATTTTTCCATCCGTGGATAGAGTCTCATCGGTGACACGTAATCGCGGTATGCATGAATGCGAACGCGTTATTGTACACGGGAGAGATTAATTATGCGCATTGTCGCGACGCGTTCGATGCGTAACAAAGACGCTGCTCGTTTCGTTTGAACACATTGCATTTGCAGCTGCATTGTCCCGAGGAACCAATCGGCTCCGGCGTTTGGTACTCGTGGAAGTTCGGTGTGCGATCGTCAGCCATTTTGGTCCCCGCCGTTTCGTTCGTCTAAATTGCGGAAACGTGCAAGGTGTACCGCGCAGGGCCAAGTTCCGTCTTGCATTCCCTGTCAAGATTCGACAGTGTTCTTGGCAGGCTTGTTTGACAGTCGTGAAACATTAACGATCGCGATTGGTACCTGTTTTCGAGCACAGGTAATCAAACGCTTTTAAGAGTGTCGCGGACATTGCACTCGTAGGATCGTACTCTTTTTGAGCGCTGTTTCACGCCTGACCAGCGTCAATTCCGCGAGATTTCTAATAATAGACTTGAGAATCGTCAAGACTACGTGTCCCCGGTGAGACGAAAGCGTCGGTGGATTGAAAGATTATTCGACAGCGCAAGCGCGCCGTACGCGCAAATAGCGAGCGGGTGCACGTTACGGAGATCTGTACGCTGTACTTGCACACGAAGACTCGCATACGGATACTTGAATACGCGAATGCGAATGCAATTCATGTACCGCCGCGTTTACACGCCCCTGTAATAATTTATGCTCTCTCGATTGCTTGTCTACCATACCTACGAGCCGACTTATATTACACGTTGCGAAAAAACGACTCGTCGATGGCAAACAATCACAAACTGCTAAACCGAACGACCAAGGAACAAACACTCTACCTTGCATTTTGTAATCTTTCCGAATAAGAAGTTCCATTCATCGTTTAGCAGTCATCGAGTACAAAGCGATACGAGTGATAGTTCCGATTGGCAAATCGAGGGAGCTTTTGAATTCAGGGCGACCGTGTTAAAAGCTACTCGTAGACGATAAGCACGGCTAGAACGGATGCCCGATTAAACGTTACGTAATACTACTGCATTCTCGGTTAGATACAGAGTCTAGCGTATCTACGCTGTTTTCGGGAGGAACCAAAATGGCGGAGTCTAGGGTACACGAAACCTCGTCCCGGTTGGACAGAAACCCGAGTTACAGCTGTGTACAGAACAATGGGCATTATCAAACGGTGACCAGTACCGTTAAGTGTTCCTGTGGCAAACTTTTTTCCGACTCGAGCCAAACCGAGACTATACAGCCCGAGAATTACTCGGTATGGGTTTCGTTAAGCTGTAAAATGATTCAACTAGATATAGTATAGATTTTCCGAGTCATCGTCGTTAGCTCGGATCTATTCAGGGTTCCATGCGGGTTTACGACGTCCTTAATTGCCTCTTCCGGATCTTTTCAACCGAATCGAACGGCGCCCGCGGTCAGTCGATGACTAAATCAAGAACAATGATCTGATACTTATATAATTAGCGCGCCAGGGAACTAGGGGTTCCTTGATACAAAAGTAGGTATTTTGGGTGGTTGAACAATTTCGATACGATCGCCACGCCCATTAAATGCGCGTTCACTGGACTGCAACTCGGGGTGGTGAACATGTCGGGCACTAACCTATTATATACGGTGCAATAACCTACATGCAATTTTATTAGATGTAAATTATGCAAACAATGAAATTTTGGTTGCCGAATTCAGGGTACCACGGGGCGCAAACACTGTGTAGTTTATTTTTATATTATTCCAACAGTAATATATGTCTTTTCTACAATTTCTTAGGAGACATGTCGCAGTTCCATAACAGAGGAAAATCTTACCACAAATCTATATCTGTATTAAAATAAAACTAATTAACATGTTTACAACATTTTTGTTTACATATTACAAACAAAGGTTATAATGCACATTCACACGCATAGCTGCTTCGAGAGTACTATATCCCATGTAATAATGGGACAATGTGGGCAATATACATTTAATAGTAATTATCATTATTCATTTACTATCCATCTATTTATTCATTTATTGACTTATGTTTTATTATGACTTTCAAAACACATACAAAGTGAATCATTACGTTCAACACAATCGTCATGGCACGAAACACTTTAATCCTCGTATTTAAGTTAATTGTCACTTATGCTACTATAGTAGTACTACCCACTGAATAATTTACACACCACAGAAAGTATCATATCCGGAACACGAACATTACGTACACTATAAAAGTATGTTAACATGAGAAAAAACACTCAGATTATATACCTACACTGTACACAACATGTCACATAGATATTGCGACGAATTCTACATGTTATATTAGACACATGCACACAGGACTGTGTCAAGGCAGGGGCAAGAGGGGCACGGGCCTCTGAGCGCCATGTTATAAGCACGTGTACACAGATGTTCTTAACAGTCAACAAAATTAAATTAACTATTTCAACCCTTCACCTATTATTTGTAAAATAATATTTTATTTTTCAATAATTGATTATATGAATCTATTTCTTGTTACATTTTTATCAATAAACAATGTTTAAAAAAACAATTCACGTCGTATAATTTAACCGACATTTTGAAACATTAAAATTTTAATCACGATGGATTGACTTTGTCATTATTAATTTTAAATTGTAAATTTTAATGAAAGAAATAAGAAATTTTTAAAACACTAGTAGTTAATGTTTTAGAACGTAAACATCCCTATGTTTTGAATTCAGTTTGATAAAAAAAAGCGCTCATTGCAATCGTACATCCCTGGTAAAACTACAGTTTCCTGGTCTACTTGATATTTTATATTTTTATTATAACTTTTTAACGAAACATTTATGAAGCTATCTATAAAATATTTTTTCTTATTTCTACCTATAGAAAACGCTGACTCGATTTGACCTGGAAACCCCTTGGGCACCCTGTACGTAGGTAAAAAGCGAAGGGTTGCTAGTCAATGCTTTCTCCTTGCTAGGAAGGAAGACCCTTGAAAGTGTTTACGATTCACCATAAAGTTATAAATGGAAAGTAGTGTTTTTTGGCAATTCGCTGTTTTTTAACGGTATGCACGACGAGTAAATTAAAGATCAACGAAAAAGTCATTAAAAAGTAGTCGCGATCGTATTACGAAATCTCTATCGGGCCTCAACGCTGGCTCCTCCATTTTACTTTCGTTTGTTTTCTTATTAGCAGCGTGGCTAAGAAATCTCCGGCTAGGAGGGAGCATCTCGACGGTAACGAAAAAAGATCCTTCGTTCGAAAGTCGACGTTTCGTGATAAAATACGGTACACGAATCCAAAAGACGAAGAGGCTGTTAATGTACTCGAAAACATCCGATGTATCACGAGCCGCGCGTCGCGCGAGATTACCATTCGCAATAAAAGTCCGACGGTTTCCTCGTAATCTAGCTGGTTTTATCCGCCGGTTGGTCGTCCATTCGTACGTCCTGCAGCGGCAGGAGGACACCAACCGGGGCACAGGTTTTCCACCGTAAACGGGTTTGTCGCGCGTTTATTCGAACACGCGGAAATCCGTCTGGCCGCGTCTCGAGTGCCGATATCCGTTCCCGGCGCGCTGTAATTGGAGGTTACGAGCAAGGCGAACGATCAAAGAAAAAATAAAAACGAAGGAGGCAAAGGATCGCTAGCTGGGGGGATTCGTTTCTGCGTCCGCGGAGACGGAAGAGAATCGGAGATGTACGGAAAGAGAGAGAGTGGAAGGATAGTCACAGAGAGGGGTAGGTAGCGAGAAGGGTGAGGTATCAGCGCACGAATAGAGGGGAGCTCGTAACCCGGCTGGTAACGCGGCGATCGTCGTTGGGGTGAAGAGGGAGAGCAGTCGGCTCGTTGGTGAGCTCATTCTAGTGTACTATGTTGTGTCGGTACGTACCACTCGGTAGAGGAAGGGAGGGGTAGCCAGAAACGCGCATAGAGGAGTGGAGAGAAAAACGACCCGCGCACAGGCGAGCAAGCAAGGCAGGCAAGTCGAGCAAGCCCAGGTTGACAGGCTAGGCAGGCTAGGCAGGCGAACAGCCGGGCGCAGATACGAGACTCGAAGGGGCAGGAGAGAGTTCTACGACCAGGGAGGAGTGAGACGGAGATAGAACGAGTGCGAGAGAGAAGACGATCGAAAAGGGGCGAAGAGAGGAGTAAAACGAAACGGCAGGCGTAGCGAGGAGCGTGTAGAGCCTGGAGGACAGAAGAGAAAGATGATGGAGGGGATGAACGTGGAGCGCAAAAGGGGCGCGCGGCAAAGGGATGTAGGGACCGGGTGAAGGGAGGGGAGGGAGGGGAAAGGGCATATCCCACTCGGGGTTTCGGTTTAGTTTGGCGTGAGTCGCCGTTCTGGTTGGTGTTGTTGCAGTGGGTCGCTCGACGTTCGATGTCGTTCATTTCCGTGGCTTAGTTCCTGAAAACGCCGCGCCGTGTCCCGCGGCGCCGTCGTACGGCTCGTCGTATTACACTCGTCTCTCGGGTTCGTTTCGTTTTTTTTTTGCGATCTCGTGGCCAGGCCCTGGCGTTCTTCCGGAGCCTGGCGGAAAGGTGAAAGTGAATCCTGCACCGTTGGAACTCGTGTCCGAATGCCAGGGAAGTCAGCCGTTCCTCTTAAAATCGGGTATACATCGAACACGCGACGTGGTAGTTGTTGTTGCATAGACACCCCGCACCTCGCGTTCACAACAGGGAGCTCGAGCCCGAGTATTCGGAGCTTACAGCCTAGAGCGAGCTCGTGTCTCCTTTGCGGTATCGCGGGAGCACGAACGATACGGCATCGCTCTGTGCACGTACGGGACCAGCATGCTCTACTACCATAGAGGATAGCGTTTGCCACTACGATCATCGCATGCTCGCACGTAAGTACACGCACGCACACCGCACCGCCACCCGATATAGCGCTTTGGAGCGTGTACGCTTGTGTGCACATAGGCCTACTCGCCGGTTGAATGCCGAGAAACGACAGAGAGAGAGATGGAGAGGGCGGTTTCCTCCATCTTTTTCCCCTCTCCTCGTTCTATCCTCTCGCGCGTGTATCCTCTTTTTCTAACCTCCTCGTGTCTCGCTCTCGCACGCGCGCTCGTATTATACAGGGTGCTCCAAAATTAACGACACTGCCCAACTGCAGACGATTCCTCCCGTACAAACAAACCAAAAGACTGGAATACGAGGCTCTTGTGCCACCCATCGTTATCAAGGCAATCGATTTCGAAGATACCCCAAGGGCACACGCACGTTTCACCAAGAAACTTGGAGGTTTCGACTCGCGTATCTCTCCGTTGCGTTCGTGCTTGGCTAATGCCGTTTAAAACTGTGACGCGATAGGCAACCTGCTTTTCTAGTTTATTAATTGGCACTATTCACAACGCTAGAAACGCTTAAACGATTGTCCTTTTCATCGTAACGCGATCTCGGCATTCTTCCTAGAAATATTTGTTTCTTTTTATTCGTAAATCACTGTTTTCATAAACTGCACGCAAACGCGACAAACGTTCGTGGCGAGACTCGTCGAATCGTTGATTAGATCGTTCGTGGTCGCGCGGTAACAATTTATGGTACGTCTTTCGCTAATCTCGTCGCGAGCGATCGCTCCTCTGCCGCCAAATCGTGCCGCGCGTTTTGGAGCGGGCTGTATTTCTGCGTTTTCTCATATTCGCGCTGCCTCGTCTTTCGTCCTCGACGAAATCGCTCGGTACACGTTCGCGATACGCGCAACGACGGAATAAACATCGTGCTCGATACGAGATCGCGGTGACTCGTACGCGGCCGCGAGCTTCCCTAGAACGCGGGATCTAGCCATTGTCCGAAATCGATGTAACGGTAGCGGACGGCATCGAAAGCTTTCCGCTGAAAAACTCGTCGCGCCGCTTTCGTCCGGGGCGTTCGCGTCGCGATCTCGCAACGTCCGTTGCCTACGATACACGAGAAAACGTGTCTCTACTGATTAATCAGCTGGCTGCCTCGACAACCAGATCGCCGTGAAACGTTGAATACGAAAGCGACAAAACAATGGGCGGGAAATTCCTCGTAATGAACGAGATTAAGTTCGAAGACCTTTGCCGCAGGCTTTTTTATTTTTTATTTTTTTTAATTTCACCACTGATCACTCGAACCCGGAGCGCACAAAGCATCGTCCTCTTCGAATCTCAAAATGCATGCAATTGTTACTTTCGATGATTTACATATTTAATCCAAGTGTTTGTCCATTCTCTTAGCATGGCCAATCTTTGCCAAGCGACGAACGATCGTGGACTGACATTAACATTCATAGGTTATCTCTCGTAAGTTTCTTTCAATTTCATTATTTACCACTTCCACAGCGACCTTCGCCTTGATTCGACGTACGATGATTGAATTATTAACGATCGCTGTTAAATACATTACGCGGTTAATCTGCTCCAAATGCTACGTTTGTTTACCGTAGAGTGTAATTGGAGAAATAATCGAGAAATTGCATCTTGTTTTATACAGTGTGTGACAAAAGTCGTTTCGCTCGCATTCTTTTATCGTAATTGTATCGAGGAACGTTTCACCGACACGCGACACTATCGAAGAAACTGCGTCGATCGCGAAAAAATGTGATTGTCTAATCGTATTCGACTTCGCCGCAGAAACGAATCGAAAACGACGCGAGTGCTCGCGAGCGAAATAATATCGCACGGACGACGGAGTATTATTTTTTTTTCCTTCCCGACTGTCGTGAGTCTGGCTGGCCGATTGAATGCCTTTCTTTCGCGATCTCTGTACACGGTCGCTAAGGTTACTTCGAATCATGGTCTCTTCCGGCCAGTAGGGTCGTCGTCTCCCTACTCTTTTTTCTTGGGGTACGAACGTATAGAAGCAACGGTGGAAGAGGGATCGGAGAGCAGCTGGGGGTCTAATCTGTAACTCACATAATGCGCGATAAGGTGGCTAAAGTTTCGCGAACGAAAACGAGAGACCGGAAACAGAAAGCGTTCTCGCGTTTCGCCGAAAGAACGATTCCAACGTGTCCAGTCATCGAGCAAAACGAGCAAATTTCAATTTTTCGGTTCGACGATACGAAAAACAGTGTACATAATAGTACACGTAACGCTTTAACAAATTCTAAAGCGTTAAAAGTATCCAAGAGCAAATGCATTGAGAATCGAGAAACCGTCAACACCGCCTCTCTAAAAGGTTCGAACGGTCGAGGAAGTTCGTAACGTCGATCGAAAGCTATTCGAACCGCCCCTCTGATGCCGCTCGAGAATTTCGCTTCTCACGGACCAGCCCGATATAAATAGACAAAGTACTAGACATCGCAGAACGCCCCGGTATATACCTAAGGCGTCCCGGAGTCGGGGGCCCAAACAGTCCGGTTAATTTCCAACGAGATAATTGGACCTCGTACGCGACGTCTTTCTCCGTCCACGTTCGCGAGCACCAAAAACGAACGCCTCCCGATTCCGCGGAAGAGGGACCTCGATCGGTAAGGGGGGATCTTTATTTAGGCGCGTCCCTGCCATTCGCGACACGTGCTGCACTCGGGGAATAGACGAACCTCCAGGTAAAACGGATACAAACGGTCAAGCAACGAATTTTCCAGCTTCGAATAAAGGCCTTTTTCACTGGCTAGGAAACTGGAGAAATGGAAAAAAGTCAAAGGGTTCGCGAATTCGGACGCTTTGTTGCTATGTTTACCGAGCCAGGGACAAACTGACGTGCGACGTTAGGAATCGAACGTAATTCTCTCAGCCGCTTCTCCGTGGTTGGTCGTTTCGTGTCCGTGGCCTCGGCGTTCGCGCGCGGCCCGACCGAGCGTGGTTAGAAACGATGGCGGAAAAACCGACGAGACACGGTTTTTCGGGAATGATTACGAGCGTCGAGGACGGAGTTTATCGCGGGTCTGCGAAATGCCGCGATATTCGATCAATACCGTCAGGTATTCGACGGCACACGGGTCTCGTTCGCAAGGGCTGCTGCTGTTTAGCGGTTTCACCGCGCGCGCCAGGCGAGTGGAAAAACGGAAAGGACAATTCTCCAGCGAGGAGAACGAGGATAAAACGCACCCGTATACCTACCGGGTGGTTGGAACTTATGGTGGAGGGGGGGGACAGAGAGCGAGGCAACGGGATTCTAGCTACCTGAGAAACCTTCGGGAAAGTGGGCTAAACACCGTGACACGGCCTAACCGTTTCCTATGTCGTGCGATTTGTCCGCAAATCTTGCAAATTTTTGTCGCGTATCCCAGTATGCAAATGGGGGAACCGGCTGCTGTTTGAAAAAGTCCGATCGTCTGAACACGCGTTACGATAATGCAGGCGGGAACGATTTTCTTGCCAAAATGACTAGCAATCGTCGAAGACTTTTCGCGTGCCCCTTTAAATCATTCGTATAACACGTTTTAAACCACAAAAAACTGAATTACATTTTTTTATAAACTTTTGATACAAGGAAAGTACAAAGAAAAATACTGAAAAGCAATTCCCTTGATTCTTCGATAAACGAAAAATTGACCGCTGGCACTCTGCGCGGGGTTTTTCCCGCGTTGCGGTTTTCCGGATCGTGGGATTACATCGGACCATGTTTCTCATTACAGGTACCATCACGGACAGTTCCGTTCCGCAACAAGAAAAATGTCTGGGGCGGGTAAAAGGACTTACCTTCGCGAGGTAAATCCCTATCTCATTTGTCCGTTGTGCAGAGGGTACCTTATAGACGCAACCACCGTGGTCGAGTGTTTGCATTCGTGTAAGTGAATCGAATCGGCTACGCGTTACGTTCTTCTGGACGAATAACGATTGTTTTTTTTTCTGTTCAGTTTGCAGAAGCTGTATTTTGAAGCACCTGAACGCGGAAGCTCATTGCCCGTCTTGCAAGCATGTTCTCAACAAAGCGAAACCGAACATCAAGTAAGTTCGACTCAACGAAAATGTCGATAAAAATACTTTAAACGAACAATGATCATTTTTCAGAGCGGACAAAGCGTTACAGGATATCGTGTACAAATTGGTTCCTGGATTGTACCACAAAGAGATGCGCAAGAGAAGAGAGTTCTACAAAAAACATCCGGAGCACGGTAATGCTTCAACACCTTTTCTTCTAACGTAAACGCGTGGTTTTTGCGTGAATTAGTCTAATACAGTAATGGTCTTTTCAGCCGATTTTGCGACTCCGGAGCAACGCGGCGAAGACGTGAGCGGAAGGTTAATTTTCGCACCGGAGGACGCGGTCAGTTTAAGTTTGGAGTACTTGCCGCCCGGAGCGGATCCACTGACTATTCTACTCAGCGCTTTGGACGATGCCAACAATTTGAGCGGGTCCAACAACCAAATTATCAACAATAATACCAACAATCATAGCACAAATACGAGTAACAGACGGTACCTTCAGTGTCCGGCGCTGGTGACTATCGCGCACTTAAAAAAATTTTTAGCTTTGAAATACAGCGTCGACATGACTAGATACACTATTGAAATTTGCCATCGACGTGCTCCGCTTCCGGAACACTGGACCCTAATGGACGTCGCCTACATCTACGCGTGGAAAAGGGTAATTTTTATCTCAATCGCCTGAATATACCGAACTTATTTCCTTCGAGTCGTTAACGATTGATAATTGTGCTTTTAGAATGCGCCGATGCGATTTTTTTACCGAGTAGCATTGGAGGAGCAGACGTTAGAGGCGCCTCCGCACGACAGGCCTTCCACGCCTGGTCTGGGCGCGAGTTTACCTCCGGTCGACGTTACCGTCGCTGCACGAGATAATATCAACGCGGAAAATCCTGAGGATAACGTGGAATTAAAGACGGAAGTCGGACGTGCGAACAGCCACGACGACAAACAAACGTCGGACGATCAGAGTGAAGTTCCGAGCGAAAAAGCGCGGTCTCCGAGCAGCGACCAGAAGCAAGAAACGGAAGTCAAGAACGTTGACGCGAAAGTGGAACAGCCGTCTAGCAACGTGGCAACTTCGACGACAGTTTCGGTCACCGTGACGAATACGACGACAACGACGACCACCGCGGTCGCGTCAACTACCTCGACCAACGTGACCAGCAAGCAAATTAAAACGCCCATTAAGATACTGAAGAACCCAGACGGAAGGTACGAGGTCTTGCGAACTCCAAACGCGAACTGGAACTCGAAGGAACAGAGCACCACGGGGACGGAAACGAAGTCCTCCAGTCCCGAGTTCAGCGTGGTTAGCATTGGTAACGGGCAGAACTCGAACGGAGTCAAGATAACCCTGAAGCAATGCACGCCGAACAGTGTGAGCCCAAACAAGCCCAAGGTAATCAGCAACGTGTTATTGCACTGCGGTGGTCAAGTGGAGAAGAGAGATTCCTCGAATTCGTTGGTCATACAACAAGTACAAAGAAACAGGGAAAAACAGCAGCTGGACAAGCAAGAGAAACACAGACGCAGGGTTACTTTCGTGGATCGGTCGACACCCGAGAAAACCACGAGCAACGCGTTGAAAGCAGCGCTGAAAAAGCCGGCAGAGCTGCAGGAGAAGAAACAATTTCTTCAATGTTTCCAGTTAACTGCCAAAGAGACGGTACCTGATTCACCGTTGGACTCGAAACCGTACGATTTTAACGCTGGTTGTGAATCGAGCGACGCGAAAAACGATGGTAATACCACCGCTGTAAAGAAGGAACAGGACAATGTTAAGGTCGAGGCACCGAGCAACGCAGAAGTACAGAAAAAGAACAGCGTCGAGAATAGCGGTGTAAACGCAGGTGGGAACACGGTGAACGTGAGTAAACGCGTTGTCGCGGCGAGCGGAATTAGCGGCAACGCGCGAGTGAACGCGAACAAACAGTGCAGTGACGTAGACACGCGCGCGTTCAGTTATGCAAAGACCGCGAACGCGACCACCGCGAATAGCAATTCCACGAAGGTTGACGTGTACACTTTCTCCAACGATCCACCGATACTTCCAGCAGGAGCGGTAAAGAGGAAGTGCCCGCCAGGATTACCGATCTTCGACATCAAACGAAAACGACAACAGGCTCAAACGCAAACTGCGAAGAAACAAACTCCTGCCCCTACAGCTACTCCCCCTCCTCCTCCTACTCCTGCTGCTTCACCAGCTCCTATACAAAACAACGTGAAGTCTCCGCGAAAGCTACCGACCGAGCACGTTATTCCTGCGAAAAGGTCTGCGAACATAATCGGCGAAGCTGGTCCCAGTCGGGCACCCGCGACGCAAAGTTCAAAACCTTCGGTGGGCCCGATGCTTTCGAACGACACGAGGAACATCCTGGATGGTTGTGGACTGAATATACCCGCGAGTCTGAGCATAACCCTCACGGCGCCGAAATCACCCGGTAACAATGGCGGATTCGTCGAGCCCATCGTCTCCAAGGACAATCGAAAGAACACGTTAGGAAAAGTGAGTCCCAGCATCACTCTGAACGACAGGTCCGTCGATCCGCGAGTGTTGAAAGCACTAAAGGCTGGGCAAATAAGAATGCCAGCGCCACCTAAACCGAGACAGACCAAGCAACCGGAACGCGAGATGGCCCCGCAGCGACAGTCGACTCCTAGCAAACGGAAACGAGAACAGGATTCACGGGATATCTTGGACCTTAGCGGGGGAAAGAAAGTGGACATGCATCCGTTGAGAATACCTCAACCGGTGACAAAATTGAAGGCGAAGTCGTCGGTACGAGACAACATGTCGAACATTCCGGATCAGGGACAAGTGGTGACACTGATGGGCGGCCATAGGTACTATCGAGCTCCTCCCGGTTCTTTGACGCCGGCGGCACATCGAGTGAGCGACTGTCCGATTCCTACACCGTCGCGTGCCCCGGTCTACGCTCCTGGACTTTCCAGTCCAATGAGCACCAGTCGAGCGAACACGAATCTATCGTCCGTTTTCCCGAGCCTGCAGAGTCTCTACGCCCTGAGTCAAGCACCAAATCTTCAACAGTTTCAAATGGATGCGAGATTGAGGTTACCACGCGGAACCGACGCGAATTCCTCCGGTATGGCTAACACGGACAACCGACCAATGAACTGCAACATACCTAGCAAGAGTCATCTAGCCGCTCAGTGTGCACCGGTAAAACCAGCCAGATCGTCGGTCGCTTCTTTAGCGGTTCCTATTAGTAAACAACAGCAGTCGAACGAGAGGCCCGCTTCTGCCTGTCTGAACAGGGCCCTTACGAACGAAATGAACAAGACTTCTACGTTTCGAAATAACGAGGCTCCGAATTCTACCGACACTGGTCAGCAATTGTCCGTCCAAACGAAATATCCGCCGGTTACAGAAAGCAACAACCGATATTCGCCGCGTAGCAGTACCACCAACAACACCAACAGCGAGGATAAAACATCGTCCACCGAGGCGGCGCGCGATTCGAGCTTGGAAACCGCTAACGATTCCAGAAAGGAGCCGGACAATTCAGCGCGTCAGACACCTCAACGCGAAGCGGCCAGCCCGAGAGTGTCGTCCACGGCTTCTCCGTCGCCACCTCCCGGAGACACTAGTGCGAGTGCAAATAACGATAATACTGCTAGTCGTAACAGCGATAACGCGAACACTGCTTCGAACGGAATCGACGACGTACCGACGACGAGTCCGTCGAAAAACAGTACAACCGTCGAAGTGTCGAGTAGTAAATCACCCGCCAGTCCAGATTCCAGTTCAGTAACGATCGAAAGCCCTTCCAGCAAAAGATGTTCGACGGTGGAACCGGAGTTCCCGTCCCCGTCGGACGGATTAAAGTCTTCCGAAAATTCAACAAAGACCGCGAACGGCGCGGTCGAAGTCTCGACGAACGATAACGAGAAGAAAATCACTTTCAAGCAGCCCGACGATAAACAACTGACGTCGGAGATGTTTCAGAAAAGACTGTTAGCTGCGTTCCCTTCCAACGAGTGGGCGAACAACCCTATCGCCGCGGAACATCTCGGCAATTTTCTGAAAAGTCTGAACGCGTCGATCAAGTCGGAAACGAAATTGGATAGTGTCGGAGCGGAGAAGATCGAAAGTCGGCATGCGTTGGAAGACGCGACGCGTGTAAATAACGAGGCTACGTCGAAGTCTCAGACGGACGTTGTCGAACGATCTTAACCACGCGAACTGCTCTGCAGATGGATAAGTTGCTTTGTCTTCGAGCAAAGACGAAAGATACATCACTGCCAATGTAATGTTAATGAATGACTTTTAGCATGGATGTGTAACGATTTTCATCGTCTATTTAGGACGCTTTAAAACATTATGCGCACGGTGTCCCGTAACGGACGGCGTGGCTGGAACGGAAGGTGTAATTTTAGGAAAATTACTACCTTTTTGTCGATTATACCGCCTACTGCGGGACACCTTGCGCAGATTTACGGTGTACGCGCGCCGCGAAATACAGGGAGATAACAGCGTCAACGCTGGAAATTTTATTTTTTCAAATTTTTTAATGACACGCAACCTTCGAGAAGTTTTAATCTACGCATAGTTGCTTCATCGAGTTACCAACGTTTACGCAACGTTCCAAGTCTTGCTCGATTTTGCAATAGAAAAGGAATCCGAAGAATCGTCTTAGATGTCGAAACCAAGACGTGATATTCAATATGCGAATACTTTCGTATGATTCTGTTATTTGTCGCGCGAAAACTGTTCCTATCTCGGTCCACTGTAACTATGTAAAAGCGGAATGTTTCTTGAAGTACCTCGCATTGTATTATAGTCGAGTTGGCTTCAAACGGCCACTTGATTTTATTCCATTTACAGAATTCGCCATCATGATTCATTTGATCTTTTATAATCGACATTTAAATACCGTAACCTCAAATATAAACACAAAGTCGATGAAATAACATAGGGAAAAATTTGTAATGATACAAAATCTGCTTTTCAAGACGTCTACGGTTAATTTATAACTTGTACGTAAGAAAGAAACACGGGGACCGAAATCGAAAGAGAAAATACTTTTTAACACATTCACAGTCACTGACATAAATTTACATCATTTTTAAATCTATAGCTGATGGTTACTGACATAATTTTATATTTATAAAAAGATTAATGATTTTATGGTTCACATTTATGATAACAACAACTATCTAACAATAAATTGATTTCATTTTACATGTTGATTGGTATAAAATAGAAAAACTATGATAGGTACGGATACTAATACTTCGCTTATCATTTTTTCTTTGTTGGAAATATATTTAATGTATTTTTAAAGTTTTCTATTTGAATTTATAACACAAATTTCAATTTCAAACAAGTGATTACATACATGATATTGTAAAACACTTTTTAAAAGTTTCATTCTCATTCTACTATTAAAACCTTATGGGAACTGATTAGAAATTCGTATACATTATCCACAGCTTTCAATTTTACGTTGGGCATTAAAATTGCCAGCTATGAATGTGTTAAGAAAAGCTAGAATACAATTCTTTGTATAATGTATGGCTGATATGTATGCTATTGTTAGTTCTTTATTTACTTTTTGCGTTACGTTTCACTATGAGTTACTACTATGTATACGTTGTATGATAATTGTTATGTTATGCGACTGTATTATATTATATGTATTATTTCTTGATCTGTATATATTTATAATTACACTTAGTATGTCGTTCTTGCGAAATGTGCGCAAAATCCTATTACTTTGTAAGCTTGGAAACGTGTTTATTCAAATTGATCATGAGGAATTCGTGTGAAAAAATAACATCGCCAAAATTTTTTAACGTAACCGCATCGAATGCATTGTCGCGATCTATGAATATTCATTTTGAATAACAGAGAACTGACATGTAACAACTGAAGGAATATATCATTATATACACAAACACTACATTGTGATATTTCTTTTTTCTTAGTTCCCATATTGAAAATTTTTATATTTTTCGTATTAAACAAAAAACACAAACTAACAAATTTACTGCAGAATATATAGTATGTACTCACGTTTGGGCAAAAGTGTGTCAACAGGTTCAAGTCTCTGTAAAGAATGCAGAACTGCGTTGCAATAATGTTTCCAAACATATCGAATCTCTGTAAAAAAAAATATATTACCATTACTTTTCTTCAGATCGTATTTTTATTTGGGATTATATTTTTCTCCGACGAAATTTTTTGAACCGTTACTTTCGCGCTATGGTGTTCTGCAAACTACGTACTTTGCGAGTTATACTCGCAAAGGTTAGTTTACATTATTGTAACATGCTAGTAATATACATACGTTGCAAACGAAACGAACTTGCATTCAACCACATGTGTAATATATTTTCTGTTAGATATTTAAAATATAAAGTTTGTTACGTTAAGAAAGTATACAAAGAAAACTAGTACGTTTTTAATGAAGTATAAAATACTATTAATAAGAACCGAGAAAGAACCAATAGATTTACAGTTGACTGTGGCGCCAAATTAGCGAACTAAATTGCGTACGAATCGTACCTCTTGTAGTAAATACGTAACTTTAAGGTTAGATGTTGGAGGTATGGTTGGTCAGGTATGGTGTTCAAGAAAATGAAAGGTTAACTTATGGGATAAATGCTTGAACGATCAAAACTTTTATCATTATTTGAACTGTGCGAGTGAAGATGAGTAACACGAAGGAAAATTCTACAGCTCCGACCAAAAATACAACTTCCGGAAACACGAAACCTTACGGAAAGATTGTGTTAACATTACAAAATTGTCTTTTACCTGAGGACAAGCTCAATTCAACGCCGTCGCATTTAGATGGATTGGACGCGGAAACCGAAACAGATTTACGAATATTAGGATGCGAATTGATACAAACTGCTGGTATTTTGCTGAAATTACCGCAGGTTAGTTATTTATTTTGAAAATAAACAAAATGTTTGTAAACGTTATAACCTCTATAACCTCGAAACAATATCGTAATGTTTGGTTTTATTACTTTTTGGCAGGTTGCAATGGCCACAGGACAAGTAATATTTCAACGATTTTATTACAGTAAATCGTTAGTTAGACATAATATGGAAACAACTGCAATGGGTTGTGTTTGTTTAGCTAGTAAAATTGAAGAGGCACCAAGGCGAATCAGGGATGTTATTAATGTGTTTAATCATATAAAGCAAGTTTCCAGTCAAAAGTGAGTAAAGTTAAATATTTATAATGTTACAATTAAAACTTGTATGTATGCAATTTTATTTGTTTAATTATTCATTTATTTATTTGTTATTTATTTCAGACCAATACAACCAGTAATACTCGATCAAAATTATGTGGCATTAAAGAATCAAGTAATTAAATCTGAAAGGAGAGTTCTGAAGGAATTAGGGTTCTGTGTTCATGTAAAACATCCTCATAAAATTATTGTTATGTACTTGCAAGTACTAGGGTATGAGAAAAATAGAACTCTGATGCAACAATGCTGGAATTATATGAATGATTCGTTAAGGTCTGATGTATTTTTAAGACATCAACCAGAAACAGTTGCCTGTGCATGTGTCTATTTAGGAGCTAGACAACTTCAACTTCCATTACCTACTACACCTGCCTGGTTTTCCCTCTTTAAAGTTAACGAATCTGCAATTAGAGATGTTTGCCGTCGTATATTACGACTTTATTTCCGACCTCGCGTTAAACCGGAACAGTTAGAAAAACGTGTAGAGGAGCTTCGTCGTCAGTATGAGGAAGCTAGAACCAAAGCAAGAGGAGGAGATGTAGACAGCCATACACCGAGTCCACCACTTCCTAAACATCATAATGCCTGGGGCGGGTTTATTAGCCGCAGTGGTACACACGCTGCACCCGAAAGGACAAAATCACCTAGGTATAGTATTGTTAAGAAATGTTAATCAAATTATATTCTATTGGAAAACATTGAAACGAACTTTATTTACTTCCATTAAGACGTTCAAAATCTCCAAGTACTTCACCATCTAGAGGTGAAGGAACAAAGCATTCCAAAAGAAAGAAACATAGTAGAAGCAGATCACGCAGCCATAGCCACGGACGATCTCGGAAACCGAAAAAAGCACAACGAAGGCGATCTGGCAGCCATAAGTCTTCGCGTAGTCGTTACAGATCACGCAGTCGATCTCGGGATAGAGATACAGAAAAATCAAGCAAACATCGCAGTAAACACAGACGACATTGAATCACTCTATGTATAAAGAATTATTTCATATTATAACAAAGAGACACTGCGATTGCATTAACAGTTGAATTCAATTTTGTAATATAATATGAGGCCTTTTTTTTATCTGTTAATTAAATGCACTTTAAATAGGAGAATTCATTTTTACTGTATGATACATATCCTGAGTTAAATTAAAAATGTAAGTATAGGTTTGAAACAAATCATTTGTAAGAGTGTCAACTCAAAGTACCTCAAAAAGAAATAAAATGGTACATTCTCAGAAAAAATATTACAAGTAATAATATTTAAAAGAGCGTGTATTTAATACAAATGCAACTTGAAAATAAAGTTTTATATTCCTGTATTGTTGTGTATCATTTTATAAAACCCGGCAGGCGGTGCTTTTTTCTTGTCAGCGGAGAGTACTGCTGAAAAATCTAGTGTTGTCAATTGCGGGAGAACGTGCACGATGTATCCTCTATAATATTGCAGATTTTCAATAGGATTTCCATGTAATGTTAAAGATTTGAGATTTTCCAAGGATTTTAGTTTCATCACATCGTTGATATTTGATATATTGTTTCCGTGTAAATAAATAATTTTTAAATTCGGAAATTTTGTAATGTCATCTCCAATTTTCTGTATCTCGTTAAAAGAAAGATCAATCCAGGAAAGGTATGCAGGATCATCAAGAAGTTTGTAAACAAGATTTTTGAATCCGTCCATAGATGTTAATAAATTATTGCTTAACCAGAACGAACATGTTACGAAACGATCTGTAGGCGTTCGTAATGGAATTTTACCTGTTCGTACTGCTTGCGGGCGTTTATTTGCCAATTCTTTTGTAATAAAAGATCAGTTTTGATTAATACTTCTTTTTATTTTAGAAAAAATGATGATCTACTTAATTTTAGTGGCATTGTGTAACATTTTAACTAAACAAATCGTAAAAATATCATATATTGTATAACATACCATCCATAGTGGTTGCTTTTTTAAAGGACAAGTCTAATGGAGCAGCTATAATCATTTCTTGTTGTTCAGTTCGTTTGTAATCCGAAAATACATCTTCGTATGCATTAGTCATATCCATTTCAAACTTTGAAAGGATAAATATTACTTTTAACGATGATATTAATCATGCTTGTATATCAGCTAAGAAAATAAAGAAAAGCAAACCTACATCATGCGTCACAATGTCGCTATACATTTAACGTGTTTAATCAAACTTAGTTATCAGTTTCTAGTAATATTATTACAATTGGTTTATTTTCGTCTACAATTGCCATCACCGTCATTTCTTCAAATCAGTATAGATAGACATTTATCCAAACGTTTATTATTAAAAATAATGATTCGAACTAACATATGGGTCTTTCATTTGTAATAATGTCATTTAAAATTAAATAAAATATTTGATAATATTATTTCAAAAGTGTTTAGACCTGACAGATCTTTATGTATTTACCAGTAACAATTTCCGGTTATTTTGAATTGATGGAAATAAAGTCGATTTGGATGCGTTTTTGAACTCTTAAAAACTAATGCCGACCGAGCAACGAGTCGCAAAGAGTTGGGATTCTATCATTTACGTATTCATTGGCATAAAATTATAAACTGTTAACAGCCGGTAAATCGAGGCAAAAATATTACTTCGATGTAAGTTTTCTAAACAAGGAATTTTTAATATATGAATTTGTAAAATTTATTTTAACATTGAGTAAAGTGTGAGATAAGCAACCGGATCTATTGAATTTGATTTTTGACACTGACCAAAAATGCCGCGAACGAAAAATGCTCGACGACCGAAAAATGAACAGCCATACATGGAAGAGAGTGATTTATTAATACAAGATTATAAACGAAAGGCCCATTTGCGAATTTTAAAAATGGAAGAAGAATCAAAAATGGAAATAAAACGTTTCGAAACTTTTGTTGATGTTACTTTATCACGACTTCCAACGGAAATTAGAAACATGACACTTGGGGAGTTACTCGACATCGACATTGACAATAAAAAACAGATTTGTAACGACGCTTTGTTATCAGTTGACGACCGTTTGTTACCATCAGTTTCGAAACTAAAAAAAGAGAAGAGAACCACGAAAAGGATCACTGCTGTGTCTGATGATGGATATGTAACTGAAGAGATAGTTACAACACATGCATCGAGAATTCGAAAGGGTACTACACTATCTACAACCAGAAGAACACGTAGCAGTTCAAGGAACAGTAAAATGAAGCTTAGCGAAATTAATGATAGTACTGTGAAGAAACCTAAAAAGGAATATGCTAAGAAATCGATGAATGTTGATAAATTTAAAACCCCCGCGAATCTGAAGTCTGAAAACAATGCATATGATCTTGTGACTCCAAAAGTCAAACCTAATACACCATTAAATATACTAAGACGTCCACGAGAAGGGGAAATGGTTCTTAGCATGCAAGGTAGTCCCTTATTGGTTTCTACAGAGATTCAGAAAAATATTGCCAATATTAATGTGCCTCTAGGTAATGGCAATATAATATCATTGTTACCTGAACATGGACTACGTATGTCACAGATTCCTGCATTAGATTCTGAAACCATGCAACAACTAAAGACTCTAAAAAGTCATATTGAGAAAGTTATCTCTTTTAAATAATAATTGTGCTCATAATGTATTTTATATTTAACTGTTATGTGTGTCAATTGAATGATTGATCAGAATGTGTTTTAGATATTTTGATACAACTTTACCATTGGCGAAATAGATAGAAGTGTATGTTCATTTTATATTTAAACAGTATTACTTCTTGTAAGCGAGAGTAATGCATATGTAGCATATTAACCCTTGTCCAACCAGAACCAGGTCATTTTGACTTAGCATTGGGAAGTTGGTTGTAATTAGATAGTTGATCGAGTGAGGGTTAAGGTAATATAAGATTATAAGATAATACGAGATACATCAAAAAATTTTCTATAAATGAACTACAATACAAGGTATTTTGCAATCTGGAGCTTTGTTTTAGAAGCTCTTAGATGTCTGCAGTTGTAAATTATTAGGTCTGACTTCTTGATATGCCGTTTAAATCCTAATCATAAGAAGCATGTGCCAATGCATATTCATACACATATGCCATAGGTAATATTGTACAGAATGCATCTCCATGAAATTTGATATAGGTTTGTTACATTGGTTTAAATAAATTTTCGCATTTCAAAACAACACAGTGTTTTTACTTTTACAACGTATTCAGCGTTTAAGGATTATTTCGAAAATGTTTCGAGAAACATACAAATATGCTTATAACAATGAAAATCTTCACTATGATATTTTTGATTCGAAAAATTATTTTGTATCTATTATGTGTAGTAGTTTATCATATAAACTTACAAGCATTTACAGTTGTTGAGGGTTCTGTTTCGTGACATTAATCTTGTACGTTCGGTAATAAGAGGCGAACGATAGTCGTAGTTCTGGGAAGGATAGTAATTCCGGGAAAACACTTCAACAGAAAGAAAATAAAATAATATGAAAGCTCGGTGAAGCCGGTCACACGTTATATCGTACAACAAAAGGTTCGATTCAGCACCGATTGTGTTTCGTTTTATTTTCATCAGGATTCTTTAATAACACTTACGTTATAAAATATTTTGACTGATAGAATTACTTATGAATCGCATAAGAGATCGAGATATATCGAAAAACGGATGCTATGCTCAGTGACGATAATAAATTATTCGGTAATTAAATTTTGATGTGGAATCTTACAATCACAATTTATATCTGAGGTACTCTCGAACCTAAGGATTAACAATATTATTCGAAACTCGAGACTTGAGAGTTCCTTCGGGAAAACATCGAGTATCGGTGACATTGGACCTTTCCTTACTTCCCGCCTAATTCGCGATGTCGCTGCTAATGGGACAATGTCGTCATTCGTAACGTAGAAATTGGCGCGGTAAGACGTGTTTGTAAGAAGACAGTTTCACGGATAATATGGTACATATATTTTATCTATCGACATTTAATCGCGTCTCACTTAATTACTATTACTCTCTAACGATACCTTCGTTTATTATTAATGCATTTTTATCATGGATTGAATCAGAATCGTGAAGAAAGTTGAGTCGATTTCGCGCGTTTTTTCGACATCTAACCAAGATTGATCGTCATTTTATTTATCTAAATATAATTATATACAATTTCGTACAACATATTTCAAGTTCAGTCGATGTTTAATTGCGATATAGGCACATTGACATTGACGCATTTAATCCAAATTTGTATTTTATTTCTGTTACAGTTTCTAATTGCATTTTGAGGACGCCACCGGTCATTGACGCCATGACATGAACGGATTGGTAAAATCTACTTTATTATAACAATTAACGTATTTATACTTGATTACATCTTTTTGTTTCTTCATTGAATTTTTACTCTTCGTAAGTACAATATGCAAATGCTGACAGTTCAGTGCTAAGGTTAATCATCATGTAATTTCAATAGGGCGGGAATTAATAATGACGTCGCTAAATATGGGTGGCAAATTGGTATTACACTTGACTTCATTTTGATCGCGATTGATATTTCCGGATATCATCTATTTAATTGACTTTCTATAAATCTGTCGTTATGAAATGTCGCAATTGCATTTTCGTACAGTTTGATATGCCAGTTTCATAAAACGTAAAATCTGCTCGATTATAACTTTAATTTTTACAAGATTCAGAACGTTTATAAAAATCAGAATGTATTTTTAAATTTAATTCAGTCAATATGCTTATTACATTCATTTCCCAGTTTTTCTTTCAGGAATTTTGGTGACCGAGCGCAATGCGGTCATTAGAGTCAGTGGTTTTGTATAGTTTGTAGTTTTTCGAAGCACAGTGGCTTCCACTAGAGTATCGTTTACAGGTTAGGCACACGCGAAGGTCGAGTCAGTGTTTTTTTTCGTAGTATGTAAATGTTTTCCAGAGCGTTAATTTACTATTTTCTTTAATAACTTTGTAGCGACCGGTCGTGCGCACAATGGAAAGTTTTTCTCTCGTGCAAACGGCCCACGTAATTTACGACTCTCGTTCGTCGAATCTGTTTTTGAGGAAGATATTTTCCATACTCGCGTATCGAATGCGTTTAGTAAATTCTTTTCCTAAGTCCCTCAACAGCAAATAGAGACCGTCGAAAATTAGGGATTTCTGGAGGACACTCGACGCGTACCCATCGGAGTTTCGCCAAGTGGGCCCAGCGCGGGTGGTCCGAAGGAAATTTTGCAGTGAGGGCGCAACGTCGTCCCCCTCAATCACCACGCCGTTTCGAAAACAAGCACGCTGTGGGTGTAAGAAATAGGCGGTGATTTGGGAAAAATAAACGGCCCTGATTGGAAAGGCCCAACGCGTGGGGTTAACCAATCAGGGTTGTTTAACAATTTTGCCAGTGCGACCGAGGGGTCGACATAGAGACGAGCGAAGAATAACTTCACTTGGTTTTGCGCGCTCTAACCGAAAACAACGGAAAAATAAAGAAAGTTTCGTCACCCCACTAAAAGTGTTTTCCTACAACAACCTATCCCAACAACTTTTAGCAGTATTCATTTACCGGTATTAGAATCAGTGCATCACTGAAGAGGAGTTTTGGGCAATACTCGACGAGTAAATAATGTAAGTATTGCTCAGCTTTGAATATGTAGAGACTGTTATATGAAATTAAAACTCTCGATAATTTTAACAAGAAATTATCATTGTTTCTTTATATTTTACAGTTTCAGGACCATGCAGACGACTTTGTCGGTGACTCACCCTGGGCAGCAGCATCATCCTGGACGCAAAGGTGTTGCAGAGGGTATTCTCCATCGTAGTCAACGATCGGTGAGTCGCATGTGATTTTTGTTCCTCCGGTCCCCAATCATGTCGTAGGACGAAAGGTCCGAATCGACATGGGTGACTGGTTGTATACGTGGTTTCTTTGGCAAGTGTAGTGACCGCGGGTATTTTTATATCCGTGAGTAGCAGCACATATTGTTTTATCTTAGGATCTTTTATTTAGGATTTTCTTGCATACCGCGATTTTTAATAAAAAAAAATGTCATAGTATGATAAATAATTTTGAATATGAATATTTATCTGTATATTTTTTAATATCGATTGTCTTTTATATTGTTCAATAATTACATTCACTTTATAATTAATTTGACGACTTTGTGTATCGAAGATTGGAAAAACATGATTCAACTAATGTGCAAGAAGATATTTCGCGACGGATACATTCTAGAGTCAAAGTAACATGCATTGTGTATTATTTTCACGTTTGAAAAATATACTTTGACGACAGAATCGCCCGAGGGTTAAATACTTTAATCAATTTGCTTGAATAGTTTATCTCACATTTCCAAAGTAATTTATTTTATTATAAAGTCTTGATCAGAGTCATTTTTTTCGTACAATTCAATTTTGATTAGTATACCTTTCTTATAGAAAAACATTTTTTAAATATTAAAATGAAATAAGAATAAATAAAGAAAATCTAGTCCGTTATACGTTTTAATCCACATTCTAATAATTTTTTATAGTCAGGATTTTTAGGTTACTTTTCCGTGCTCATTGCCTAATCTCACCCAAGTGCCCAGGTGCTACTTGTGTGAGTGAAGGCAATGAGCACGATGACTTAGTTTATAAAAATTTCTAATAACATATGTACGCGACTAACATTGGCTAGTGCATCGAGCGCGACGTAATTTTCACGTGTGTGTGTTTGAGGTTAGGGTGTGGAATTGCGTCGTTTAAAAAATTGATTATACTTAACAAAGACAATTTTCTTTCAACTTGTACATATTTTTTGCATATTTTATGAAATATAAATGAGAATTAGCTTCTTGATATTGAACAATAAACTGAAGAGAATCGATTACGATCATCCATACAATAGTATATTTTATCAAAAATTTTATTAAATGAAAATAACGTAATATATACAATCTAAGTACGCAATGATCACTAGTCTTTGTCAGTCGATTTCAGGTATTGGTACGTATCTTAGAGTGTGAATGTTTGCAATGTTCGGGTGTCGGAGGAGCCCCGGGGCTTCCTCTCTAGTTTAGGCCGCGCCCGGACATTATGTGTGAGAACCGTGGAGTGTGTGTTTGAGAGAATGAGTTTTGCAATTTTTTAAATACAGAGTTAGGTAGGTAGGTAACTTTCTGGTGTGCGTGTGCGTTTGATCTAAGTAGATAGGGTCAGGGCAGGACTGTTCACATTAGACATTCGGGTAGGCGCGTTTTCGCGTGGCAGTCCTGCACCTATAGTTACGATTTCGAGAGTGGAAAAGTTTGCCGATCCAAACGGTTTCTACCGTTTGCTTTGGTGTTACTTTTCATTCTTGGAATCGCCGCGACTTTAAAGTCGCTCGTCGCGTTCGCGGTCGTGGTTAGCCACCCTCGAAACGCTCGTCCCGCTCGAGTTACTGCCCACGTATTCCGATAACAATTCCTTGAATTGTTGGAGGTCTGCGTATCGCACGGAGTGCTCGAGCCTAGTATTAAGTTTCAGGCTTTGGCAGGACCGCCGAAGAAAGAAAAGAAAGACTCGATGGAGTCGAAGAGACCCTGACAAACTGTCGCAAGAGTGGGTTGTAACAAATGACTCTTCATCTTCATCTTCCAGATGAGGATGGAGAGTCATTCTCTGTTGTTACTTTTGTCACTACGTTTGCCTGTAGTTGTAGTATTTGTAGTTTTACAGATGGTACTTGGTACCACGACGTCCAGTGGTGGGCAAATCGCGGTTTGCATTAGCGTTGCTAATCATGAACGATCGCGTTGCTATTATTTTAACTTCTCGGTGATTAGTTTTAGAGTTGCGATCATATTTCGCGTTTGCTTTTCAGGATAGTGTTTGTCTAGATAATTTT